CACAAGCATCACAAGCATCACAAGGTCCATGCGGAGGCGTTGTTTGGCAGTTGTAAACGCACATACACGCTACTGAACTTGTGTGCCATCAGATTCTCGTGCTTGGGACTTATGATTTAAACTGTTGATGTTATTACCGAATACCGTAGGTGCTTGGAACAAATTATGGTTACCACCGTTAATTAAAATCCTTCTTTGGACATTAATGATTAAAAATTACCTTCTCTGATACATTTGTCCGTTGTATATCATATATGGGATTACTTTTAAAAATGTGAAGTTTTTAATTTGACTCAGTATAATTCTAAAAAAAAGCCTTTCATACACACCCAATCCTTCAAACGATTTGACAGATACTTTTCAGAAAAGATGTTTAAAATTTGTTTGGAAGGGAAAACATGATTAAGTGAAAAGAAAAATAATGTCTCAACCCCAAAAACAGAGCAGAATTAACGTCCCAATCATAAAGGATGCGATTGCAGCACAAAAACGTTCATGGATCAGAAGATTATATGGTAATCACTCAAAATGGACTGAGTCAGTTTCGTGCTGTACTCCAAATAGAGAGAGATTATGTTTGGCATATGCCTCCTATGTTGATGTAGGTATTACTCTAAATACCATAAATTTATTTTGGAAGGATCTTTTGGAAGTTTGGGCAACATACCTGTCCAAAAGTAAAATGAAACCTGGTCAAGATATTATGAGACAATCTATATGGTTTAATAGTAGGATACAAATAGGAAAGAGTCCAATCTTCAAAACATGGTCAAGCAGGGGTATAACCTTCATTGGGGATTTAGTGGATGACAAAGGTAACATTTATATATTTGATGCTTTTGTGCATATGTATGGAATTGAAACAAATTATATAGAATATTATGTAATTTTAAATGCAGTCAAACAATTTTGTAAGGTAAATGAACATGATGTTTTCAATTCTATATCTCCTCGACCAACCATGCCATTCAATATATCCCATCTGCTAAACCAAAATATAGGTAGTAAAGAATTTTACAAGACTTTATCAGCACCGAAGTTTGTTAAATTTCATGGCATTGAATAATGGGAACGTTTACTGAATAAGACATTGAGTGAAACGGATTGGCAAGAACATATATTGATGGCAAAAAGATGTACTCAAAGTGAAGATATCAGATGGTTTCAGTTTAAGATTATTCATTACATTCTTACAACTAACAAATATTTATATAAAATTGGATGTGTTGATTCTCCTTTGTGTACTTTCTGTACAAGTCAACCTGAACCTATAAACCATATGTTGTATGATTGTGAACATGTAAGAACAATTTGGGAGAAACTGTACATTTGGATAAAAACCGTTGTTGATGGAACCATTGATTTGAACAGAATTAATGTTTTATTTGGATTTTAAAGCAAACCCATTGAATAGTGTACTTTTAATAACAAAACAAGTAATATACAGACAATGTAGGAAAAAAATAATGTCACATTTTGAACAAAGGCAGCATGAGATAATTAGTTTTAAAACTGCTACAAAGGTAATGTCTTTTACAAATTTTATACAAACTTTTTTAGTTTCTGGTCTTCCTTCCACACTTTATTTAAAAACCAATCTGCAATACATAATGATACACGCACTTTGACTTTGATAGGCAAGAATGTATATGTATGAATAGCTGTACACTTCTTAAATGCGATGTTCCACAATTTGTTGACATGACATGTTGTTTCTTTGTTTGTTTGTTTGTTGTTTAACGCAGCACTCAGCAATATTCCAGCTATATGACGGCGGTCTGTAAAATGATCGAGTCTGGACCAGACAATCCAGTGATTGACATCATGAGCATCGATCCACGCAATTGGGATCGATGACATGTATCAACCAAGTCAGCGAGCCTGACCACCCGATCCCGTAAGTCGCCTTTTACGACAAGCATAGTCACCTTTTACGGCAAGCGTGGGTTGCTGAAGACCTATTCTATCCCGGAATCTTCACGGGTCGACATGACATGTATATAGATGCTGTACCTGCTGAGATGAATAAAGGGCGAAATATGTTTGTTTGTTGTTTAACAGCTATTTGACGGCGGTCTGTAATTAATCGGGTCTGGACCAGACAACCCAGTGGTTGATATCATGAGCATCGATCCACGAAATATATCACTGACCATATCAATATGTAAATAAATCCAACAGATTCATTACGGAATTGACATAGACTTCTGTGAAATACTGACTTTAGAGTTTGGTATTTACGTCGCGTAAACATTATACCATCGGCGTGAGAACAATGGGTACACCACGCATGAATTGGCTCAACCTGTATTTTCTTATCCGCCATTGTATAGAACTACATGTGGGTCTTCTGTCTGACGAGCAATATGAAGGTTACACTGTAGTCCCTGTAGACGTGTGCACAATGACATCCTTCTTTGTACCGGCGTGTCATCACATAACTCAGCTTGATCATTATGTGCTGACTGAATGCAGGCGTCGCCATTACAACTGCAATGACTTGAATAATGTATAAAGCGAGACGGGGGGGGGGGGGAGAGAGAGTGGGGGGAGGGAGCCTGAAGTGATGCAGTGATGACGTTCACCACACACAGACGTAGACACATACATATACACACACGTATGTGTGTTTTTGGGGTGATAGATATCCTGCCTTTGGAATATACTACTGTAAGAAGTACTTTCCTGACTTTCAACTTTGACCTTTAGGATACCGCTAACATTCGTTGGCTGTATCCTGACAAACCTAAGCATTATTATACTCTTCAATAAAAGAAACTTGACATAGATGTAAAACCACTTTTTGGGGAGCCTGAAGTGATGCAGGTCTTAGACGTTCACCACACACAGACGTAGACACATACATATACACACACGTATGTGTGTTTTGGGGTGATAGATATCCTGCCTTTGGAATAAACTACTGTAAGTAGTACTTTCCTGACTTTCAACTTTGACCTTTAGGATACCGCTCATATTCGTTGGCTGTATCCTGACAAACCTAAGCATTATTATACTCTACAAAAAAAGAAACTTGACATAGATGTAAAACCACTTTTTGCCAAATATCTAAAATAATTACATTAAATGAGAACCAAATAAGTCAAACAGAAAGATGATGTGTCTATAATTCGCGAAAACACATGCAAAGCACATAAACGTAGCGTTTGGGAATCAATTTTACAGCTTCATCCAAACGCAACCGCCTGTAAAAAACGTGCAGCACAGGATCCTGCATTTAGGCATGCAGGCCCCCCTTCTGAATGGGTATAAAAATCCACATCAACGGCCGTTCATAAAGTCCTTATAACGGCAGTAGAGGCGGTGACAGAATGCCAAGACTGAATGCAGCTCAACGGAACAACGCCATTGGGAGATTACAAGCTGGAGCAACTCAGCAAGAAGTGGCCAGGCACTTTGGCGCATCCAGACAGACAATCTCCGCACTGTGGACCCGATACAACAACACCAACAGAGTTGACGACAGACCAAGGTCAGGAAGACCAAGGGTGACAACCCAAGCACAAGATCGATACATCCGGCTGCGACACCTCCGGGACCGCACTACCACAGCCAAGTCTGCAACCACACAGATGCCTGGGGTACGCAGAATATCAGATCAAACGGTACGCAACAGACTGGGGGAGGCTGGACTTTTTGCACGAAGACCTGTTCGACGTCATGTATTGACCCCACGTCATCTGGCGGACCGTCTGCTTTGGTGCCAACAGAGGGTTAGATGGGCACGTGCAAGGTGGAGAAATGTACTGTTTACTGACGAGTCCCGTTTCCTACTCACACGTGTTGATGGGCGCGCACGTGTCTACAGACGTCGGGGTGAACGTTACGCCCCCAACTGTGTGCAGCAGGTTGTCCCATTTGGCGGCGGGAGTGTCATAGTATGGGCCGGAATTCATCACGGTGGTAGGACGCCTCTCGTGCATGTGGCAGGTGCATTGACAGGTGTGCGTTACAGAGACTTGATCCTACAGCCTTACGTTCTTCCTCACGTCAACGTTCATGGCGGACAGTTCCAGCAGGACAACGCTTGACCGCATATTGCACGTGTTTGTCAGGACTTCTTACAGCACAACAACATCCAGACATTACCTTGGCCAGCCCGGTCACCAGATTTGTCCCCGATTGAGCATCTGCGGGACGAGTTGGATCGACGGGTTCGCAGAAGGAATCCACCGCCCCAAACACTTCCGGCGCTTCTTGATGCACTTCAGCATGAATGGCAGCACATCCAACAGCGTGTTATTGACAACTTTATTGCATCTATGGGTCGTCGGTGTCAAGCGGTGATTGATGCACGTGGTGGGCACAACCGATACTGACATTTTCTGTACCCCTATGACATTACCTGTATCGTGTTCGTGTGTCTGTTTAGGTGACACGATTAATGTTTTGAACATTGTGTACATTGATCTTCAAACAGTGTTTCAATTATGGTTTCTGTGTCCTATTTTGAAACAATCGCATTATATTACATTTTGAAAGTCAAGTTTCTTTTTTTAAGAGTATATTATAATTTGGGAATATTTTTGCTCAATTTCACAAAAACATCCCCCCAAATTCATGACACGTTACTTTTTTTGTTATAACATATCCATAATGAAAGAAAACAGAACGACATACTGGGTATACAGGTATACTGTGCACCTGTAATCAACTCTTTCCCACTGTCGACCCGTGAAGATCCGGGTTAGAATAGGCCTTCAGCAACCCATGCTTGCCGTAAATGGCGACTATGCTTGTCGTAAGAGGCGACAAACGGGATCGCGTGGTCAGGCTCGCTGACTTGGTTGATGCATGTCATCGATCCCAATTGTGTAGATTGATGCTCATGTTGTCAATCACTGCATTGTCTGGTCCAGCCTCGATTATTTACCGACCGCCGTCATATAGCTGGAATTTTGCTGAGTGCTGCGTTAAAACAAAAAATATTCAAACAAACTTTCCCATTGTCACATATTGGTTTATTTCGTGTTATACAGGCAACGAGAATCTTAAACGCCCAGGGTCCAAAGGAACTGGCGATCACGACTGTCGAACGGTTTCCTAGCAACAGAGAAAATGTCAGAATTCTCGATATAGCGGCTGGCACTGGGATGTGTGCAGAACAGGTTGGAAGAAAAGACAAACTAATGCAGTTAATTTACACGCAGATACGAATTTTAAATTTACCAATTTTCTACCAGTGACAATCAAGAACATTTCATGTTTTAAACTTGGACCGTGTCATAACTATAAAGTCTCCATATCATAATGCCAATACTTCATAAGTAAATGACTTTGACATTGTCTTAACATTGTGTTGATTTAATTATAATTATAGTTTATTTTACAAATTCCATAAATACTCAAGTTAATGTGTGTGCAAGCTTTTAAGAGGCTTGGTTCAGAATGATTGACCTTCACTTTTAATACCAACTCATCCTGTGCCAGAACGAATTCAAGGGTTATATTGGAGATGTGAAGTCTCTTACAAAAGTAAGGGGCGGTCGGGTAGCCTAGTGGTTAAAGCGTTCGCTCGTCACGCCCAAGACCCGAGTTGGATTCCCGACATGGGTACAATACAATGTGTGAAGCCCATTTCCGGTGTCCCCCGTCGTGATATTGCTGGAATATTGCTAAAAGCGGCGTAAAACCATACTCACTCACTCACTCTTAAAAAAGTTTGCGGTTGAGTCTGGTCCGCGAAATCTCCCTCGATTCTAACTCTTGCTGGTCATGTGACACGTGACATGACGTCATGACAAATTTGCCTCCATTTTGCAACAGACAGTTTGATTTCCCTTCTCGGTCAGTAGCCAGCGTCAGTCCATTGTACGACTCCGACTATAAGCAGAGTCCATTGTACGACTCCGACTATAAGCAGAGTCCATTCTTCGACTCCGACTATGAGCAGAGTCCATTGTACGACTCCGACTATCAGCAGAGTCCATTGTCCGACTCCGACTATAAGCAGAGTCCATTGTACGATGCCGACTTTAAGCCGAATGGCGCGGAAAATCCAGTTTCGGTCACTTGTTCACACGTATACAAGGGTTCAGTTCACTAACTTTTCAACCATCATGGTCAAACATTTGGTGCACGGATGACACAGCCGCCTGAGGCGTCTTGCGTCTCTTGGGTGCAGCAGAGACCTACGACCGTGGGTAAGAATCCCAGATTCGCCCTGATTATATTCCTAGGTTTATCAGCACCATATCCATGCTTGTAGGTTTCACCAAAGTGGCAAATAAATGCGATGCAAGTCATTTCCTTAATAATAATAAATCTAAGAGCAGAGTCCACTTTACGATTCCTACTATAACTAGAGTCCATTGTACGACTCCGACTGTAAGCAGAGTCCATTGTTGGATTCCGACTATAAGCAGAGTCCATTGTACGACTCCGACTAGAAGCATGTATTTATGAATCATTATCGCATCATTATTCTCAAGATTTTGAAGAATTGTCCATTTTGAATAAGTGGATATTTATTATGTTTTTATTAGCTTCGAAAACAAGGATTCAAGAAAATAGACGCTTTGGATGGAAGCGAGGGGATGTTGGAAATAGCCAGAGAGAAAGGGCTATACGACCGTTACACACTTGGAGAATTAGGCGACAACACTTTGGATGCAGCCACAGGTGAATAAGTGAATTAGGAGATAAACATACTGTGTTTTCAATGTAGAGCTAAGTTACCTGTAGATTTAACCCCGCTAAATTGAATTTGGAACCGAACGCGCAACGTGAGGTTTCAAATGTTAAATTTAGCGCGGTTATATCTACAGGTAACCTAGCTCTACATTGAAAACACAGTATGTTTATCTCCATTCTACCATTACTAAATATAACGCAAACTCTTTGGTGTTAGCAAACATACTGAGTGAAGCGGCATGGGTTGAGTTCAGTGTTTTGAGTGGGTTATCGATCTGAATTAGGGAATCACCGAACAAAATATGGTGCTGTATATACTCAAGCAGTTTGTTTACACCGTTATACTTCACTCGAACATGACAGGCATTGAAGGCATGCAGGCACGGCAACTTGGTAAGATAACATGAGGTGGGCATCCCTAAAGAAAACAAAGCAAGCTTTGCAAGGCTTTCGCTCTACATCGTGCGTCACCATTATGACGTCATATCGCTCATTGTGACGCAAAAAATATGACGTCGTATATAGAAAAGCGCCAAAATTCCAAGCTCTCTGTTGTCTCCAAAACGTAAATACATTCCCTTTGTTGATTTCTGTCGTGTTTTTCTGCACGAAATGAATTGCCACACATCCTTTGAATATTGTAGTAACCGCTTCTGTGCATTTTGTAACCTGTAATTGTAGATATAATTTTTTTAATATGCCTACCGACAATGACTGAAAATAGTACTATTCTATGAATATTAGCTTCCGCGGTGATGCGGCCTTCAAACCAGCTGTTTCAATCAGAGGGGGTTTATTGTGATTTGATAGCCTCTGATTGACCAATCAGAATCGAGTAAATTCCAAATTAATGGTAGAATGCTGTTTAACGACGCAATGAGAAATACTCCACACATTTCACAACCTAAACATATTTGTGTGGAACAGGCCAAGTCACCGACATTGCAAAGTAAATTTCTTATCCGTTGGACATTTTCCCCTCTGAAATCCAACACAACACTCAAGCACTCAGTATGTCTAGCCAGCAACTTTAATGAACAAGTGCAACAAGTGTAAGTGTCTGCGGTGTCGTGGCACTAATTGTTCATCTTAACTTTGGTATACTTTTAAATTTCTTCATCTGGAGGATCTCTCGTAACAGTGTGCTATCTCAGGTTGATGTAACAATGAAAATGGTTCGATTCATAATGAGTATGCACTTTAAGATAATTCACATGATTTAATACATGGGTTGAACCTACATGTATATATTGAACCACGTTTTCTTTAAACCATATGAGTGCAACTTCCGTATCCTACGGACATCACTTATCTAGCACATGAACGCAGATCTTGGACATTTACTACGTGGTGAAACCAACGTGAAGGGTAAAGTACCGACAAACCACGGTTCACGATCAAGGCTTCGGACACATACTGAGCAGATCATGGTACAACTAAGGGACGCAACTCTGCAAAGTGAATTTCGGCACCCTAAATTACGACGCCGTCCTCCCGCACCAGTGTCACATGTACAGTGGAATCCGGATTTCTATCAATACAAGACCACTACTTCCATAAATACTTTTTCTTCCATCTTTACCTTTATGTCCTATTTCTTTATTTCCAGCTATAATCTCACTAATCCGAACCCCTGTCTAAACCGGACTGGCTTCTTTCTTTTTTTCAGCCCCACACAAGTCCGGTTTAGTGATTCTGATGTAGCGTCAGATATGGGTAGATAAGGTATCAATTCTTTTTGGTTTATTCTGTTTCAGACACGTACGACGCGATTACGATTTGCGCATTGAACGAATCGGTTATGAAGAGACTGCCCATCAAGGCATACGAAGAAATTATCAGGGTTGTCAAAAAAGGTGGGTGCTTGCACATACCATGAAAATGTGTTATGTTCGCGTTCGCGACCCACTATTTTTGCCTTTCCCGTCCAATGAAATTTCGACGCATAATTGAGACCAATTGTTTACTGTCGTTGACGTTTTTATGTTATTGTTGGTTTGTTGTTTAACGCCGACTATTAAACTTTCTGTACCTCAATATTTTTGAAAGTAATATAATATTGGAATATTTTTAACTTTTTATTTTCTTAACTTGAAAAAAAAATTCGCTGGACAAAAAGTGAAAGGATGTTCTAAATGAAATGCGTTAAACTTAAATTGTCCGTTTTACATCTTCTGAAAATAACTGTATATCTCGAATAGTATTGTTTGTGTGTGGAACAAAACTCTCAGAACGACAGCAATCATATTTTTTAATTTCTCTACATATAGTAACAATATTTAAAACTAACTCGGAATCAGATACTCAATTGGCGCTATTTGTTGTTTTTCTTACAGGAGGATATATTATTTGGGTCAGTCACTACCGCGTGTTTACTGATGCCGACCCCGAACGGGAAGACATGATACGACACGTCACGAGTTTGGAAGCAAAGGGAAAATGGAAACGAGTGGAACTTCGATTCGTAAGTTCCTCAATTTTTTCCGAGGAAGTGACGGTGGTATTTCAGTCCACGAGATCTGCTAGTTTTTCGGCTGCATTGATCTGCATTCATGTTTTGTCTGTTCTATGGCAATACTAGTATTTGAAATAGACATTTCCTCTGCACGCCCATAAATTTACGATTTGACCAACTGCATGCTTCATTCAAGTTCAACACATTACGGTCACTGAACAATGACGTCACCTCTTTGTCGCGCAGCTCCATATATATACCCACATGTATCAGTTATATTATAACAGAGCTTTGTTTTATGCTCAACATTATGAACCTTCAATTGTTAATCTGCATGCCTTATACAAGTCAAGCCTAACTGTATAGTGCAGTGCATTGCCGTCAATAACTGAAACGACTGTGCTTCAATAAAACAAATGAAACCTTTGATTGCTTATTTACTGATTATATCCACTCGCACGCACGCACACACACCTCGAAAGGGAGGGGAGACATATTGTTTTTTGCTCGGCCAGTTCCCATCGGCGTCGGCGTTGCAACCCTATTAAATCAATTTTTACTTAGTCCCAAACCTTTCAACATTTTTCAAAGAAAATTGTTTTTCTTTCTTGTTTCATTTTTTTCTAAATTCTATTTTTTATGTTTCCACGGAAACATTTGGACTCCAGGCTTTGTTTTCGAGCAATAACTATCAAACCAATTTTACTTTCTTTTTTTCATGGAAATAATTAATAAGTCTCAAATAAGTAGCTTTTGTTTCCCGCCAAAACTGTACAGCTGATGAGTGAGTGAGTGAGTTGGCAGCGTTAGAAATTGGCACTAGTCCAATAGTCCTTGCCAAGTTATCAAAAGGAAAAGTAGAAATTTGCCATTTGTAAGGGTTTGGCTACATGTTATCATTATAAGGACTAGTGGACTAAAAATGTTAGTTTCTATTGATTGGGTTTAACGCTGCTTTTAACAGTATTCCAGTTATATCACGGCGTGTCAGCTTAATGTTGGATGAAGCCCAAAGTGATGCAGGTCTCTGACGTTTACCACTTCGGTGAAACCCACGAGAACGGATATGGTGCTGACAAACCTAGAAACATAATCGGGGCGAACCGGGATTCGAACACACAATCCTAGGTTTCTGGCGTGCCCAAGGGACGCAACTGTGCACAGCGAATCGCGGCGCCTTAGACGACTGAGCCACCCGTGGCCCCTACAGCTGATGAATATTTCTGGAGAAAACTATTATTTTTCCAGACATAAATGTGCTATTATTGTTTTTCAGACTTGCAAAGACGTGTTTAGTAACCACTTGAACTAATGGAATGAAACAAAAGGAGGGGAGAGACATATGTTTTTTTTATGAGAAAAAGCATATTTTAGTTAAGTTTGTGTTATGAGTAAACACTCATTTTAGTTCAGTTTGTTTAACAGTGACCTACTTAGTTAATAAAACTACCAAATAGTTTGCTACTATTGTTTTTCAGACTTGACTTGCAAAAACATTTATAGTTACGACTTTAACTGGTGTAGCGAAACAAAAGGAGGGGAGGGGACTTATGTTTTATATCGGTAAAAAGCCATTTTAGTTGAGTTTGTTTAACAGTGACCTACTTAGTTAATAAAATGACCAGATAGTTGAGGTTTCATCGGGACAAGTAACTTTCGTAAAAATAACTGGTTCTCCCTCAAACACTAGAAACTGGAACACTAGACTGGACAAGACTAACATAACATAATAAACCAACCATGGCCTCATTAAAAATATATCTAATGTCACATTTAGTGGCAGACCATTTGGTTTTTCGGGAAGATCCAGAGTAGAATACATGCAGGTCTTCAGCAACCCATGCTTACCAATAAAAGGCGAATAAAAGGATCGGGTGGTTAGGATCTTGGTTGACGAATGTCATCGTTTCCCAATTGCGTGGATCGATGCTCATGATGATATTTAGCTTATAGATAATATAATAAAAGACCATATGTAAGATAGGGCGACGTAAGGGGGTGCTAATTGACATTAATAGATAGCGCTGGGGATTAATGGTCCTGCCCGGAGGGGGCTTATGATTAGAGGGCATACGCTGAATGATTGCTGTATACATTAAACAGAAAAAAAGGAGACAGAATTTCTGTGCACTTTGGAAACATATTGAAACAAATACGTATTTGGATAAATGAAGTTTTAAAGAAACCTGTTGCACTATAACAATAACCATGAATGATTTTGTCCTCAAAAGCGTTTTAGAAACAGTGACAATATTGAAAGTACAAGTATACAGTAAAATGCATTGCTCCAATCACAAAGATCAGTTGTTGTCTCAGATTGGTCAGGATTAGGACATACACACTTACATCATCACAAAGTTGAAACAGGTGACGCAAGACCCATTATACTTTGCTTTTGCGACAAAATGTGAAACGGTTAGGGCAATTCATTCACACGGTCGGGTAGTTCGAGCAATAACACATGACTCTTAGTCATTTCATATGAAAAAAGGCAGCAGTTATTTGTCGAAAGGGGATAGCATGTAGGTCAACTGGTTAACAAAAAATTGCGGCACAGCGATGATTTGAACGTGCCCTGTCGATCACTTCGGGCTTGTCCATTCAATGTTTACGTTTTGATCATGAAGTTCCTGCCCATAAATATACACTTTTACCTTATGTATTACAGTGAGTGAGTGAGTGAGGCTGTTAAAATATGTATGTTAAAAAAAAAACCATGTTAGGTTTTTATATTAAGTTATGTATTACAGTGAGTGAGTGAGTGAGTCTGTTAAAATATATATGTTAAGAAGAAAACAATGTTAGGCTTTTACCTTATGTATTACAGTGAGTGAGTGAGTGAGTGAGTGAGCCGCTTTTAACAGTATTTTAGTTATATCATGGCTAAATAACGATCATAGCTATCTTTCCATATCTTAGATTTGAATATTTTCTGTAAATAAGCATCATAAACAGAAAGACAATCTCTACTGTCGTTTCGTCTCTTGCGCCGTGCTAAATCACACTGTCTATAATATAATGCGATACTTGAACAAAAACTTTCGTTGCCGACTAAACGTTGCCCGGTAGTCTCACGCCCTTAACAGTACAGTTGGGAAAAGTAAATCTTTCTGGCCAGTCTGTTGGATTTCTTTTTCCAATTGGCTGTCTGATATTATAAAAGTTACGTCTACGTGACATGGGTGCATAATATAAAAATCGCCGTCATTCGCATGAAGTTCAACATGGCAGAAAAAGCTCGAGAATCTCGCCATATTTCGCAATCCGTAGCCCTGTATAAAATATTAGTTACACGATGCTATAGCTGAGATGATATAGGATGATGATGGTTATAATTTTGATTGTGCGCACTCGGTGTTTGACGTCTTAATTTACAGTTGAAAAGGGACATTTCACAGGACCATATATGGAGCCGCGGCACTAAGAGGGTTAACATGACGATGTACCCTGTATTAATATGATGGAATATGTCATAAAATAAATTACTTTATCATATAATGGGTAGGTTTCTCGGCAGGATAAAGCCCACTCTCCTACCCAGAGTCCCATGCGGCCGGCAGCCAGCCAGCATAGTACCTCTGCCACAGGCCAGCGCCATGTGACGATTCGTCACATCTTTCACAGTCCATTCAAGATATTGCATATGCTTTTCATCCGTTTCATGTTTGACAAGTCTACACATTTTCATAAACAAATGTCAAAGAATGGTTAACTTTCATTGAGAAAGTATGCAAATACGTAAAAATCTACTTGTTTTTGCGTAGTTATCCTATGTTTACATTGGTTGTACGGCTCCACGTGCTGTCATCGAAGCCCAACAGAGAGCTAGCGACACGGTCACTTTGATGCATAAATATATATTGTCATGCAACTCACTGTCGAAGTTGTAGTAGCATATCTATATAGTTATGCAAAACAATATGTGAAGCGCCCCAAAATACTTGCATTAGTCTGTTCTATACTGATTTCTGAAAAAGCGCGTTTGTTTACAAACAAGAGAAAAGTCCGGTCACGTGATATGCAAATTAGTCTGTGGCAGTGGTGTTATGCTGAGTCGATACTGCGACGGAGTGTGGATAAAGCCAACGGATACAAACGATATCCGTTGGGGTCATATACGGATACAGATGCAAATATCAAAGGTCAAGTAGGGACTACTTTCATTGCGTCTCCCTGACATCACACTCCGGCGCAGTGGTGACTTAGCATAACACAACATAATTAACCATCAGGAATCGGGAAAAACTACTGGGATAATTGCTATCATTATTTAAAGAAAAGTATAATATACTGAAAATCAGTGTCTAACTGTGATGTAGCCCGATACATTTTACAAGTTTGGGCAACTTTGGAGATCTGTGCTTGGCACCTTTTCCCGAATAAAAGAGTTACATTTGGCTGAAATATGTCCGAATTGTTACCTAATTTCGTTTTGTCGCTGTTTGTACATCTGACTGCTCTCCGTAACGCTATAACGGGACAGGCTGACTCTATATACAAACGTGAGGTCGCATAGACTAGGGTTAGAACGAGTAGCTTCCCTTTGACAAAGGGCAGTTACTCTAGCGGACAGACCGCTGGATTGCCGCGAAAGGCAAGCAGAAACAATTTGCAGTTCTGGGTTGTTGTTTTGCCTACATGTAGTTACGCCACCGTATAAGAAACAGGTTTCAGTTGGAACTATATTCACAGTTGTCTTTGTCCGACTGACGCACCACTTTCCTTCTGACGTAATATAAATTAATGCGCACATTCCAGGAAACTTGCAATGTTTTGATAAATTAAATGTTTATGAGAGATGGTAAGAGATTTTTCGAGCACAGAATTTACGAATGAAATTATATGATACCATTTGATAATCTGTTCCCGAAAATGTTGGAAATTTTTTAAAAAACTCATGTGTTGCGTGTCCCTAAAAATGGACTTCATTTCTATGAAAAATAAATTGTATGTTTTGAAGTTCTATCTGTCCCATACAAACTTCCCAGTTCCCCTAAACCGCCACCCCGCTGATACTTAAGTTCTCGGGCCCTTAAAACCTCTTTCGAAAATGCTGCGCTTTGATTATCTTACGGTATTGAAAAATAAAAACACATTTCTTTTGACTTCGATGAGAAAAAAACCCAGCTGCGTCTTAATATATGGTGATTTTAATTGATTAACCCAACAACGATCGACTAATTCGGAAATGCGCATACTTTCATCATTGTGGCATTACCGTCATTTTGAACCGTAATATCTTTAGTGAGAAAACACAAATGTTACCTTTGGGTGTTAAATAAAGGGAGTTAAGTGTGACATACAAGAAAAAATGTTTGGGTATATGCATAGAACTGCACCCATCTTCATACCATCACACATTATTTTATATTTATCTTGCAGTGCGGGGGAGTGTTAAAGAGTGAGATTTAATGCTGTGGCGAATAAAGATTGAGCCTCGCCACGACTTAGCGGTCCTTTTTGTCATCTGACACTTAAAAGTAGTTGAACGCAAGCAGTATTTCATGACGAATATTCTTCTGACGTCACAATATTGATACGATCGCACGAGATCGTCATAAGCCACAGATATAATAGCCATAACTATATCTCACAAACTAGTGTTGTCGGTTTCTAAATGTGAAAAAATTAAGTTTACAAAAGTGGAATTACATCCCGCAACTACGTCAAGGTAGAAAGTTACTGGTGACGTCATAGGTCTGTGACGTAACAACAATAAGAACAGCCGAAGTCACCGTAGTGAAAAAGGTAAGCCAGCGTCTCGTTTTGTTTCAACAAACGCCACACTACACCAATACATAACCAATCGTTGATAGCATGCAGCAGGCACGTAGATTGTACTAAATGATACAATGACTTTCAAAATGAGTAAACCCAAGTCTGATTACCATGACATGAGTTAGCAGTTCTAACAAGACTTTACATTTAGCCTGTGTATTGTTTTGCGCCACTGTCAGCAAAATTAAAGATGTTTCACCGCGGTCTGTAAATAATCAAATGTGGGCCATACTAACTAGTGGTTGATATTATGAACGACCTCCTTCGCCGGACCACTAACTCCATATTAGCCGTGAAGATCCGGGTAGAGACTAGGTCGATCTTCAGCGACCCAGGTTAACCCAGCTTAAAGAGTCGACTATGCTTGTCGTAAGAGGCCACTAACGGGATCGGGTGGTCAGGCTCGCTGACTTGGTTGACTTGCATGTTATCGTATCCCAATTTCGTAGATCGACGCTCATGATGTCAATCACTGGATTGTCTGGTCCACACTCGATTATTTTACAGACTGCCGTCAAATAACTGGAATACTTCTCAGTGCGGCGTTAAACAACAAACAAACAAACATATTAGTCGCCCCTTACGACAAGCAGAGCTTGATCGAACATGAGCTCTTAGAAAATTCGGTACAAGTGCAGGGCCTGGATCCACAAAGAAATCTTAGCGCTACGACTGCCGTAAGCCGATGTTAAAATATGGGAGTTACGATCACCATGGCGCTATTAAAGATCTCTTTGTGGAACGGGACCCTGTTTATGATTTTCAACACCCACCCCACCCCACTCGGGAGTATGTAATTATACAAAATCACAGGGTTTGAATGATAAATAAAGATAGATATATTTGTCAGATTTTAAAAATGACAAATTATAACCGTCAAATATCACGTTGCATATGTGGTACTGTAAAGGACTCTATGTGATGGTTTAGGGGCCTGTGCCTGTGGTATACGAACAGCGAGAGTCCACACACGTTTTCGATGAGGAATTTCAATATGTGTTCATCGTACATGTATGTTGGAGACCGCCTCCGTGGTCTAATGGTAGAGCGTCCGCCCGCAGAGCGGAAGGACCGGGGTTCTATCCCCGGCCGCGTCATACCAAAGACGTTAAAAGATGGTACTTGTTGTTACCCTGTCTGGCGCTCGGCATAAAGGGGTTAAAACAAGGACTGGTCGGCTCGGAGTCAGTATACTGTGTCTGAGTGGGGTATTCACGTTAAACTGCGGCATGGTATCTCAGTGAGCTAGCACTATAAATCGGCATCAGTCCGGACTAGTACAAGCAGTCACACAAACACACACATGTACATGCACGTCGCTATATAAGTGCAATAATCTTGGACGCGACGTTAAACCCCATTTCACCTCACCTCACCTCACATGTATGTTGGCCAGTCACTGTCTTGCAAATGCCGTAAATCCTTGAATAGACGCTAGACCTAGTGCGTCTATTTATTTCAGAGAAGTCTTACACCCCCCGTCTTTTCAATGACAGTCGACCCGTGGAGATCCGGGGTAGAATAGGTCTTCAGCAACCCATGCTTGTCGTAAGAGGCGACTAAGGGGACTGGGTGGTCAGGCTCGCTTACTGGTTGATGCATGTCATCGATCCCAATTGCGTGGATCAATGCTCATGATATCAATCACTGGATTGTCTGGTCCAGACTCGATTATTTACAGACCGCTGTCATATAGCTGGACTATTGCTGAATGCGGTGTAAAACAACAAACCAACTAACCAATCAATGACAGTCTGCGCAAAACCTTTTGAGGCTAGATCTACTAGACTCTAGATAGCGTCTCTCTCTCTCTCTCTCTGTGTGTGTGTGTGTGTGTGTGTGTGTGTGTGTGTGTGTGTGTGTGTGTGTGGACTATTATTTGCTGAGCTTACTATAGATCAAATTCCGACTTTCACTGGACTCTGGCCCGGGACTAGTGCTTTAAGGTCGCAGAACTTCCATGAAGATGGGACGTGTAATTAGAAATAGTGCACACTTAAAATTTGTATAATAATGGCTTTCCTTTCGACATCACTTTATTGAGTACCAAAAGGAATGTCTATGTCTAGGAATAAATGTTAACTGATTTTGACCTAGAAGGCATGCATTTATGATTCATTTCGCAGAGTCAGTCTATTCAAGGATTTACGGTACATACTGTTTGATTCGATCTTACTAAATGCTTGGCATCACTGTTGCCATGCTAAAAGTCTCATGGCGGCCACACATACTAGACCTTAAAGGCTATACGTATTGTCTAATGGCAGTCATAATGCTATTTTGTCACACACAGATATTTCAACGAAAATAAGTCTTGTAACTGGTGTGAACTACCGTAATGAAAAATGTCAGTCTTGTGTGCAAGCCCATGCATCTCATAAGTGACACAGTGATTTCATAAATCAGTTTTTAGACATCAATAAATGAATTTATGATATCTAAAAAGGTCTTTTAATATATTACTTAAACAATATAATTTGTTATATCAATTATTCATTCTGTGCCTCCCCATTTTGTGAATAGATAGTATCAGAAATATATTTGTCACCGATCCGATTTAGTGATATCAATAATTCATAGCTTAAAATATTGCAGCTGTCTATGCCAGAGTCTATTTAAATTCTCTTTTGTCTAGTAAACTCAGGTAATAATAGTCCATATTTAAAACTATACTCACTCACTCTAATATCACTGTTGCGTTTCTTATTTTGCAGAGTATGTGTGATAGATTCTTGTGTCTATAAAAAATATGCTCAACAGAAAAAGAAAACAAACATTAAGCAAAACTGAAAAAGATTATGGCAGGAAATCAAACTCAAACATTCACTTGAAATGTCAAGCAATTTCAAATACATTGCAATAGCAACAAATATTATTTTAAACGACCAACTGTTAAGTGTATAAAGACAAAAAAAAGACAGAAAACTGTTTCATATTCCAAAGAACATTTTTATTATTTCATACTCAAAAGACAAGTTTTGAAACATACCTGTAAATCTAAAATAACATTAAAAAATCTAAAGTTTGGCCAAAGGCTAATTTAATTAAAAAAAAATTTCAAATTATAAGACAAGAAATTTTATTTCCAGCTTTGGTACCCAGCTTTTTTCTAACCAGCAATACATGTGAAACATTCAAGCACAACATGCCCAAGAGAAGACACATCCTCGACTATCCAGTGTATCATACATGTATCTCCATTCTGTTATGATAAATACCCAGGATCCATTTGCTAGAACAACTTTGCTTTCACTACAGTTATTGGGCATGATTCTAAACTTAGTTGTCCAATACAATTACAAACAAATCAAATATAGTGATATGTGCTGCTTAATCTAAAACTAGCTTCAGTGCCAATAACAAAAATAGTAGTCAAATTTCCTGCATCATATGAAGCATACTCAGTTATCTGTCATGGTGACTGATTTACTATCCATTGTCTAAAGAACATTTAATTGCAAAGGCTCATTACCCTGGAGCCATGACATCTATATGCCTTGAAACATTTAATTGCTGTTATTTATTAGATGCTAATCTTATTTGTTAATCCCCATTTTTGTGTACATCGACCGTCTGCCATCCTGAACAGGATGTGCAAGTATGTCACTGATGATTTACTGTTTACATTTATAGTTATTACTAACTGAGAAAATAACTGAGGGTGCCACAGAGAGTTGGTACACACTCTGGGCTGTGGGAGAGAGGTCTGCTTGGTAAGAGAGTCAAACCCCTTCTCTGCTCTCTCAATCTCTCTGGACCAAGGCTTATATAGCCAAGGTCACCTGACATTTAGTAAGTAATAAATATAAATGCCATAATCCCAATATTGGCTATAATATCACTAAAACTAAATCTTCAGATTTCAATAGGTTATGATGTCAAGTTTATAGTCATTAATCACTATTTCCATAACAAGCATATTACCATTTTGATCACATGGTATTTCTTCACATTTGAAGTTAAAGATACTTGCACCTAAAATTGCTACACCTCTGGAATTGCTTTTGTAAGAGCGGAAATAACATGGATAATTGACCCATTCTTCCCTAGTCTTTTGTTCCTTGCTTTTTGTGAGTGAGTGAGTATGGTTTTACGCCGCTTTTAGCAATATTCCAGCAATATCACGGCGTGAGACACCAGAAATGGGCTTCACACATTGTACCCATGTCGGGAACCGAACCCGGGTCTTCTGCGTGACGAGCGAATGCTTTAAAGCTCTCAATGCTACTGTCGAACCAGTTCGACAGAGTTTGTCACTACCCATGTTGCTACTGTCGAACCAGTTCGACAGGCGAATAGCATAAGGACACCCACAAACAAAACTCGCCATATCTATTTACCAAGAAGGCTTTGCGTTACATTTAAATTACGTATGGCATGCATAAATGCTCAGCTTGCTCAGTATCAAAACTTTCAGTAGTGTATTTACCTAAAAAAGAAAATATCGCGAGTTTAAAAAGTTTCAGCCAAACTTCGCGGCACACAACTACCAGAAACGGCCATTGTTGACTTTTGGCACTTCACGTTGAGCGGCATGCAGTCCGATATTTTCTTTATAATGTTATCATTTTTCACATTCGATCATAATTTATTCTTTGCTGACGAAGGGAAAACACTCACGTTCCTTAAATTCTAAAAATTAGCAATTTTCGGAGTAATTAATTATAAACAAAAACAATCTGAATCGTAACATCATCGATTGGATGAAACTTGTACGATCATGGCAACGGCGGTAAACAAACAACTCCACATGCATAATGATCCCGTAAGACTATTACAATAATTTTGTTACATCTAACTTAATTTTCTAGAATTATTGACACGCATGTTTAAATCTGTGTAAAAAAATATCGTTTTTATAGAGTTTTCAAATGATTTCGTTTGATAAACTTTCGGACACATTGGCAAGCCGACAAACGGCGGTGATACGTTTGGGCGTGGCCTAACTCGCGATTTGTTTAGTTGAACAA